ATAAAATTTCAGAATGTCACTTTCACCTATGTGTAGCCAACCCCTGTGTCTATAGAGCTCAAAAGTCTTACCTAGAAATGTCTATAATGTGATTTTTTACAATTTCTCAGCATGTCTGAAAATAGGTTTTTGAAAAGTATATGTTTAAAGTTGATTTTAACAAAAAATACAATACTAACATTCTAAGAGGTCTCAGATTATTGGTGCTGAGTTTGTGCTGAATAAAAGCAAATGTAACACTTTGGGATAAATGTTTTTTAGAGAGGTGAAATATTTTAAAATGTCAAGGCATGTCAGACTACCCCGAAAGTGGCTCATCCCAGCCACTTCACACTTGGCTGCGAACCGCCCAAGAGGATGCTGGAGGTCCCCAGCAGATGAAGCCAACAAGACCACGTCATTCGCAAAAAGCTTTGCTGCAATCCTTAGGGCACCAAACTGGACACCCTCAACATCCTGGCTGTGCCTAGAAATCCTATCCATAAATATTATAAATAGGACTGATGATAAAGGGCAGCCCTGGCGGAGCCCAACACGCACTAGGAACACAACAGAGAGAGAAGGAATGCTGCTTTTTTCAAAAAGATTTATAACCTAAAGATCAAAGGGTTAGGATGAGAGTCAGTTGTTCCTTGAGGTCACGAACCTGGACCATGAGTGAGTCCACTAACTTACATCGCTCAAAGGTTTAAACTTTTAGTTGATCTAATTAACATATAGTTAAAACAATAAAGTACAGAGCACAATAAAACACTAAATTAACACTTGCGTTAAAACTGAACTTTTTTTAAATTACAACCTTAAAATTAAACTTTTAAAATAACCAAATTAACAATTACCTACCCGAGACTAACTTCCTGCTGAACCACGTTTAACTAAAATAAAGCGAAGTTGCTCTAGGGAGGCCGAAAAACCACAAAAAAACCTTCTCAAAGCAGGCTACTGCCAAAGCGGGAAAAAAAGTGGAAAATGTCCTCCTGGCCCGACTGGCGACCGAGCAAAGCTCAGGAGCAACTGTCCTTTTCCGAATTAATGTTACCAACGTTAGATAATATTACCCCGCGGGTGTTTAATGCGAAGGTGCGCAGACAAAAACGCCACTCGCGCGACTCCCGCAGATATTGATAACACTCACGCTGTCTATTAACAAGGACAGACAAGTACTCATGCAGACCGAGAAAAAAATTTAAATAAAAGTAAAAAATTAAACAAAAACCACACACATAACCATAATGGTACACAAAACATTCAAATACACTGAAATATACTTCCAGATAATTCCAGTCAACTGCTTCAACAGGCGCACAACACAACACAAGTGCACACAGCGTCTACACCACTCCCGCA